TTAGTTTAGTTATTGTATTTGTTTAAAAACGCAAAAGAACACTCCTATGTTATGGCAAAATTAGCAAAACCTTATTTTTGAGTATATTAAAGGAAACGTAATATAGAGTGTCCGCCTGAAGTCTGTATCAAATAGTATTTTTCTATTATTAGAAACAGATAAAATTAGGTAACGCTAATAACAAGTTTTGTTTATTTAAAAACGAATTGTTAAGTATATCATAGTCGTGCGACCTGATTTACCTTTCTATTTTAACATTCTTATGAGAATTATCATGAATTGGCCATGTTTAATATGGCATACCATCTATTTTTGATTATATTTTAATCATAATTACTATCCGGTCTGATGCAAATTGTATCTCTTTATATTATTTGAAGCAGAAAATAACATGGTTTTTTATTCCTCGATGGTAGATGTACTTGAGGTAGATGGATATCACTCGCTCATATCAGTGTGGATTTTTTAAAAAACTGATATTTTATGAAAAAACTATTATAAATAATACCCCAGTCAAAATAGACATTTCAATTAACAATAATTCGCATAGAGCTGAAAATTGGTACAGGTCTTAATTACACTATTATAAATGATATCTGAAAAATCCCCACCCCTCTCACGTCGGCTAAAAAAAATATTCAAGGTCAAAAGTAAAAAATATGTTTTTTTGCTTTGTTTTTCCTAAACGGTAAGCGCAATCGCAAAAGTATCTTAAACAAATGTTGTAGATAATTAAATTTTCTACAATAATGGTTCTTATACTTTTTTCTTACGAACCACCATTCCTGAAATATGGCGATTTCAAAAGTTGAAAAACTCGTATTTTTCATAATATGCACATGCACACATTTTCGCACCACCTGTGAGGTAGTGTATTTGACGCGTTTTTTTTAACGTGGTTTCCCCTGTGGGCTATTGTGGTTAAATTTTATTACACATTATACTATTAATTTTAAAAAACGGTGCTCTTGGTAATGATTATGGTCGAACGGATTATTGTTGATTTTGGGAGAATTTTAATCTGAGTGGTAATCTTCAAATCCTACTTCAACAGTAATGTCTCCTTCGCTTTCTTCTTTCTCATGTTCTTGCGAAATATCTGGAAATTCATCTATGACAGATGTATCAGTTGTGTCGTCGGAAATAAAATTGTGTATGCACTATGTTCGCATATTTGAAGTGAAACTTCTTATTAACAGCTATTAAATTGAAGGATTTGAAGGAGACGTTTGAAAAAGTGTTGTTTGAAATGTTGAAAAACTAATAAATTAAAGATGCGTTTACACGAGTCAAGTGAATTGATCAAGTCAGTTGAATTCAATTTGCCTAAAGGCAATATGACCTTCTAAACTCGAAATATCAAAAAAAATTGTTTAACCTTTGACGTTCAAGTGGTTTTTTTAAATGGCGGCCAAGTAGGTGATCAGAAGAAAATTCTGTAAAATTTATTAATTTACATGAAAAATATTAGTGTTTATGGAATATACAGAGTCCAGAATACAAAATCCCATCAAAAACATAGAATGTAAGAAAATGCCAAGTCTCGCAACACAATTCCTCCGCTATAAAAAGTTGTGAGATCTCATGTAAAACCAAGTCAGTTTATTTTATTTAGTCTCTCTTTAAGCACCTATTCAACAATTTTGATATAAATTGTTAATATCAATATTAGTCATCTTTATTTCTATAATAATCTTAATGACTTGGCAATTGCATGCACGGCACCATAATTATAAAAGAGAATAATCTACTATTTCGATTACTAAGTTCTAATAAACGGTGCACTTAAGAATAAAGTTTTTTAATTACTATAAAATATCATATCATGCAATTGCCAAGTCATTATAATTATTATAGAAATAAAGATGACTAATATTATAGTATGTCTTCACTTATGTCAGATAAACCAAAATATTCGAAAAATTGACACAAAATAGAAATTGTCGTGGAATACCAAAATTTTGGAAATAGAAAAAATGTGAAAGTAAACAAAATCAAATAAACTTTAATAAACAAGTTTTTTTTCAAAAGTATTAATTTTTGCGACGTGATTGCCAATAATGTAAAAAAGTCATTTTAACGCCTAGGCATAAAGGTAAAGGACTTTTACGCCTAAGCATAAACGTATAAAAATATATTATTGAACCTCTAATTAAACTGACATAAAGTGTCAAATTCAACGAGCGTAACCATAGTTTCTCGATATACAGAGTGGTCCGAATTGTATTCCGGAAACTTCGGCAGCATATTCTGCAGATAAAAATAAGTTAAACAGTTCGTATAAATGTATGTCCTAAAATGCTTAGTTTCGGAGATACAGGGTGTAGAAGTTTCATTTTTATTTCGATTTTTTCCAAATAATTTCTGAAGTAACGTCAATATTTAATGAAAATTGGTGTCTAGGTGTTTTTTGACATTGACAGAGAAATGTGATTTTAATGTCAACATGACTCCTACTAGTAGAGGGCGCCACCTACATATTTTTTAACTGGGTTGAAGAGTAATAACTTTTTGTCCGTACCTGTATAAAACTACTGAGTAAAAAATATACATCTACGACGTTTTTTACGTGAAAAAGGTCTCTTGGTAAAAATCGCCACGAGTAATGATTTTCGAGATATTTGGAATCGAAATTATCAATACCTGTCATCATTGACATAAATTAAACATGCGTTGACTAAATAATTATTAGACTGAAATCATAAATTTGAAATGTTTTTGTGCCAAAAGTTCAACAGAAACTGTTTTATCATCATTTTTTACACAAAAATTTATGATTAATTTAAAAAAAAAATACAAATTTCCCAAATTTATTATTTCAGTGAAATAACTATCTACTCAACGTGTTTATTTTTCGTCAATAATAACATGTATTGACTATTCTCATTCTAAATATCTTAAGAACGGTTGCTCGTAGCGGTTATTACGAAGAGATATTTTTTACGTAGAAAGTGTTGTAAATGTATATTTTTTCGCTCGGTAGTTTTATACAGGTACGGACAAAAAGTTGATACGCTTCAAAACAGTTAACACACAGGTAGATGGCGCCCTCTACTAGTAGGAGTGATATTGACATCAAAATCAAATTTCTCATGTGAAAAAACACCAATTTTCATCCAAATATTGACGTTACTCCAGAAATTATTTAGAAAAAATCGAAATAAAAATGAAACTTCTACACCCTGTATCTCTGAAACTAAGCATTTTAGGACATATATTTATACGAACTTTTTTACTTATTTTTATCTGCAGAATGTGCTGCCGAAGTTTCCGGAATACAGTTCGGACCACCCTGTATAATTACTTACAAGGTATTACTTTTAAATAATTTTATATTATTTATAACGTTTAAAATTGTTTAAAAACTTGTGGCGTTTCAAAAGAAATAGCATGTTCTATTCGAAATAGAAATGAATTTTGTGCCCTCGGCTGTATGTCAAACCCTTATACAGGGTGTTTCAAAACAAATGCGAAAAACTTCAGGGGGCGATTCCTTGTTCAAAATAAAGGGTAGTTTGCTTCATAAACGTTGGGTCAAAAGTCAACCATTAGGGAGATATCGCGGTACAAAGATGGCGGAAAAATAAGGTTTTTATTTTTTATCTTGAAAACGAAAAGAGATAGACTAATGAAATTTTATGGAAATATTGCTGTTATGAAAACACACTTTCTGGTAATTTTTTCACTTTTTTAAAATGAGTGGAAGGTGATGAAATAAACTACCCCTATCATTCTTGTTATCGAAATTTAAAGAAAAATCTTATCAAACACATGCAAAAAAATAAATTTGGATAGCTTGGTTTGTTTAGAAACTTTTTTATCTCTTGTGTTTTTTTGATAAAACTCACCGATTTGAAATTAAAAAATAAAATGTAAAGCATTACATGTCAGGACAAAAGACATTTTTAGATAAAGAATCTAGTGGGCTGCTCTAATTTTTTTAGAAAAAAATCTAGTCACCCCGTGTCACTTTTTAGGACGTTTCTAATATTATTTTATTGACATTACTCTACTGCAATACGTTATTATCTAGATTCTTATTATTAGCGTTATTATCACTAGATTCTTTATCTAAAAATGTTTTTTACCCTGACATGTAATGCTTTACATTTTATTTTTTAATTTCAAATCGGCGAGTTTTATCAAAGAAATACAAGAGATAAAAAAGTTTCTAAAGAAACCAAGCTATCCAAATTAATTTTTTTGCATGTGTTTGATAAGATTTTTTAAACTCGTTAACAAAATGATAGGGGGTAGTTTATTTCAACCCCTTCCACTCATTTAAAAAAAAGAGAAAATGACCAGAAAGTATGTTTTCACAACAGTAATGCTTCCATAAAAATTTCATTCGTCTATCGTTTTCGTTTTCAAGATAAAAAACAAAAACATTATTTTTCCGCCATCTTATACCGCGATATCTCCAATGTTGACTTTTAACAACGTTTGCTCACACTACCCTTTATTTTGAACAAGGAATCACCCCCTGAAGTTTTTCGCATTTGTTTTGAAACACCCTGTATATAAACAAGGGTCAAACGTACAGCCTTGCCACAAAGAGTGTCATTTTTACTCCTAATAAAACAATATCCTCCGCATTTTTAATAAAAAAATTTGCTAGGTGAACCAACTAGCAATAAACTACTGTGATAAAACTAATTTTTAGTTTTATAGACCAGCAACTAACTGCGTTACCCAATTTCATTTGCATCTAATAAAAAAATATTTTATGCAGATTTTTTGCGAACACTATATTTTCCCATACTACACCACTGTTTGACACCGACAAATCAAACGACCATTTAGATTTCTGTTTAGTTTTCAATTAGCGAATAATTTATGTTTTTACGTTTTATGTTCGTCTATAGCAAATAGTAAAGTGGTAATTTGATTAGCTTTGCTATTTGGTAAACGTTCGTAGTGAAATGCATGCAACCATGCTGTGGCTTTCTAAATGGGCAATTCTACTGTTTTATTAGTTTTATGCTACGATATGTTTGTAGAGTGGATGTGCCGACGGAAAAAAGGGTGAGGAAGTGGGGTTTGTCAATGGAGGATTTGCTCTGCGACCCCACTGGGGTGCAAGAGTTCACCAATTATTTGCAGAAAGAGAAGAGCGAGGAGAACATCCTGTTCTGGTTGGCGGTCAACGATTTGAGACGGTCGTCCCAGTCGCAGGTCCTATGGAAAATTCAAGAAATATACGAGTAAGTGTTTTTTGTTATTAATCATATTTTCATAAATTAGAAATTTGTGTGATAAATAGGCAACGATACTAAAGCTTCATTCAGAACCTCGCAATTAGTGGGAAAAAATAAGGGTTTCAATTACTTTTTAATGTACGATCATTCACAATGTCTAAAAAACACAATTAAAATTAATAGAATATCCTAGCAACATCTTGCGGTAATCAGTTGTATCGATAGAGAAAGCCTAAAGCTTGATTTTCATGCATCCGTTATCCGACGATATGATGATACGATATTAATTTTATTGGTTGAATTGAAAGACTTAGATTAGTTAGAAACGGTTAACCAATCGAAGTCTTTAAATTCAACCAATAAAATTAATATCGTATCATCGTATCGTCGTCGGACAACTAGATGCATGAAAATCAAACTTTGCGTAATATTTAGCTTATAAAACAATTAACTTTTGATTCCTAACCACATTTTCTCTTGTTGTACGATAAACCAAAGGCCAAAATGACATTCCTCGCAAATTTTGAAGTATAATTAGTGGAAAAGTTAAAAATTTGTTAACTTTTTCCACTAAAGCTTCATTCAGAACCTCGTGGAACAAATAAATTATTGGAATAAATTAGTGGTTTCAAATACACTTCATACTTTTTAGTTTACGATCATTCACAATGTTTAAAAAACACAAATAAAATTAATAGAATATCCTAGCTACTGCTTGCGTTAGTTGACGGAAGATAATCAAAGACCAAAATGACATTTGTAGCAAATTTTGAAGTATAATTAGTGGAAAAGTAAAAAAAATTTTCTACTAATTGAAAATGTCTACCACTAACTTTGACGTTCTGAATGCTTAAATTGAAATTAAAGCAACAAACTTCTTCGCTAATTAAAACCACTGATTTATTCCACTAATTTCGAGGCTCTGAATGAAGCTTAATTAAAAATGCACTAATTTTGACGTTCTGAACAAACGTTATACGCTAATTGAAACCACTAATTGCGAGGTTCTGAATGAAGCTTTTAACCGAGAGTAGGAAGGTGGCGCGCCATCGGGATTTTTTTTTATACAAGGTGTTTCAAAAAACATATGCCATGTATTCAAAATAAATGAATTACGGACTTCCATTTTCTTTCTTGATATTGATTAACACAACGTTTCGGTCAGAAGGATCACTGACCGTTATCATGTTTACACTTGTGAAAACGTTTGAAACTTGAAACGTGCGAATCAAAATAAATAAAGACAATGGAAGTCCGAAATTCTTTTAGTTTCAAAGCCGAATCGTTGTCTACCACATTCAACATATGCCATCTTTCGTGGGGAGATTTTTCATATATTTTTTGAAACACCTTATATAGAATCACGAAAAAATATTAAAACGGACCAAATATGATAAACAACAATTTTGTTCACAAGCTGGGAGTAAAATGAACTGCCTGATAAGTTACCAAAGGTTTGATACTGGAATTGCAATAGCATCATTGCCTAGACATTACCTAGTATAAAACCGCTAGTCTGCCGAATCTTCGTGATCACCGTTGCGATTTACAGCTGTCTTTTATATTATACCGGGTGCGTCTCAAAAGTGGCGCACCCCCTATAATTTTTTTATTTTTTCAGATAAAAAAACGAGATTTGGTATGTTAGTATATGACATAAATTGATTGACGTATTCAATTGTTTTTAGTCACTTCCTCTTCCACCGAAAATGACCACAACTTTTTATTTTTAAATTGCACCCTCGGTATATATTTACTGTATACTATAGAAAATGACACTCTGAATAGAATGACATATCATATGTTAACTTTTGACATTTTTTTGAATCTAGATTGCCATGGCTGTGTTAAAAACAGTTGTTATCATAAAGTTGTAATCATTTCCTGTGAAACAGGAAGTGATCAAAAACAATTGAATCAAGGTCAATCAATCCTAATTTATGTCATATACTAACATGTCAAATATCTGTTTTTTATCTGAAAAAATAAAAAAGGTATAGGATGTGAGCCACTTTTGAGACGCACCTGGTATAGAAACATGAAAAAAGAGTGAGTTATTAAAACGAACATTAAGAACTCATACATTCAGGCATCAATAGTATTGTTTATTCATAGATATTCACAAAATTTATTATCCATTTAATAAGAGCACTTTAAAAGAGTACTTAACTGTGTACAGAGTGTCCCATTTTCTTGTGATTTATAGCTTTTTTTGTTTATGAGAAGAAATATATAATGATTTCGTTATCACATCATTGTGCTACTTTTTTATGAAACTAAAGATGCTAACACAGATTTGTCCTAGCCTTTTTAGTTGTAGCCATTTTAGTTCCTGAAATACAGGACTGATTTGAAAATGTTGCATTTTTCATAGCCCATAATATCTCGATTATCTTAAAACTTGTGAAAACTGAGTTTCGTAGAGTATTTCACGTAGAATCCAGTGGCGTAGAATGCAGAATGTTTAGGAGGGGAATTAATAACCGCTTTACAGATCTCTCTCTATTGTGTGTTCCCTTTTCTTGAGTTATAACGAGTTATACTACTACTACTACTGCCATTACTCGCTGACGAGTATTTGACACGCATTAGGAGATGGTCACGCAAGGCGTTTTCTTTCATGAGCTTTTCTGTGACTGAAAATCCCGATACGTGATGTTATCTGCCTACCGCACTCCGGACATTCAAAAATCTCATTGCTTTGTTGCATCTTTACTTTTTGGTTGTCGCTGTTAACTGAGTTTACAATTCTTCTCCATTGAGTTCTATTGTAAGCTGTTTCTTCCCACTCATTCTGCATATATCCCCTTTAAGTTTTCATGGAAAATGTCCTTGTACCTTTTGAGTTGCCCACCCGGCCTTCTCTTACCGTCTACAAGCTCACCGTAAAGCAGAGATTTTGGTATGCGGGTTTCTTGCATTCTGCATACGTGACCAGCCCATCTTAAGCGGGATTTTGTAACCATGACTTCAATACTCTCGCAGTTAGCTTTTTCAAGTACCGATACGTTTGAGACATGATGGAACCACCGGATTCTTAAGAGTTGTCTAAGGTGTGTCTGTTGCAACCTGTTTAATGCGTTCATTTGTCGGCGGTACGGCACCCAAGTTTCGCTCCCATATAACATGGTGGGGATTATAATTGCTCGGTACACTGCAAGTTTCGTTTTTGTACTCAAATCATGATTGTAGAAAACCCTGTCTTTTAATTTCCAATCCTGTGCTGAATTTCAGAGTCGATATTGGCCTTTTCCGAAATCAAACTGCCGAGGTAATTGAATTCCGCTACAAATTCCAATAGTTCTCTAACCTAACCAATTTGTATAACATTATTGTGATCTTCCGGGGGAGTGCATATGATTTTGGTTCTGTCGATGTTTAGTTTTAGCCTCAAAGCTTCGTATGCCCAGGTATATGTGTTCAGCATTTCTTGTAATTGTAACGTTTTTGCAACTAGAGCGCAGTCATCAGCGCATTGAAGTTCTGTGATGAATTTTGTACGTGTTTTTGCCCTGAGTCTTTTTATGTTGAACAGACCACCGACCGGCGCCGTTGTATCTATATCTAATGCCCAATCCTCTCTCCTGCAGTTTGCTGTCCACTATAATGGAGAGCGCTGCCGTGAACATGTACATACTCTTGTATTTTTTAAGAAGGGATTGCTCAGTGATCCATGATGTGACACCCTTGACTTGTTGTTGTTATGGAAGCTTTTACACACTGCAAGAAATTTGTTGGGTACTCCGAACTTTTTCATAATTGCATCTCCGTTCACAGAGTTGAAAGCTTTTGTTAGGTCGATAAATACAATATAAAGTTTAGACTGCTGCTCTTTTACTTTTTCCTGTAGTTGGCGGATGAAAAATATGCATTCCACGGTCGCGGTGCCGCGGTTGGTACGAAAACCCGTTTGTGATTCTGGAAGGATTTTTGACGAGTTATAACTAATCGTACAGTCTCAGGGTTGTGGCAAAAGCCAGTACTAGAGACGACTTCACAAAGGCCAGCTCTCCATTCTCGACATCAGCCGTACCAAAGTTCATGGCACGAACGGTCGTCATCTTGGCACACTCAGTTCTGGTGTTTCCCCATTTTCCCCACAGAATCTACATTCGCCGTTGTTTCTCAGCTTCAGCTTACTGAGGTGTTCGTTGAGGAGACAGTGTCCTGTTAGAAACCCCGTGGACAATCCGTGACAATTGTTGTTACTTAAATCCAAGAAATTCATTGATTTTTCTCGGTCGTAAGTTCTGAGGAACTTTTTCGAGTGTCTTAGACCGTTGGAGGACTCTCATTCCAGGTTACGGATGGAGTCTTCCAGGGTCCTCAGTTCCGCCTTTAGTTGGTTTCCGCTTGGAAAACAAAACGGTTCTGGTCCAGTTAGTGGAGTGTTCGCTCCTTTTCTAGCTAGATCGTTGAGCGGACACCCAGAGTAGGAGGATTTTATTTTCTTTGCCTAATTTGTTCAGCTTCTCTAGGCATTTTTTATCATATATTATTCTGATTATGCGCCCCCATATTAAACCACATAACACAAATTAAATTAATGTTTTATTTTACTTTTATTATGTTTGCGTATGTTCATTTTAGTTTCCTTTCGACTGGAATGTCATTGGATAAATGCGAGTTTTCTGGCATTACTAATTGCTGCATTCATTTCATTGTCAACTCATAGCGGTTGTGTTACAAAATTTATAGTGGTTATCTGAGATGTGCCTTTTAGGAAAATTAACCGGACACATTAAATGTTCAAATGTTGGTGCAATATGACAATATTTTCAGCAATATCGTCGCAGTGGCTCTATTAAATATTTATTCTACGTCCGTTGCGTTAATGTAAAATCAATTTTCATTTTATTAAAAATTAATAAGCATACATGTATGCGTTTTCTATACATACAGGGAGTTTAATATATTATAGAAAATATTCTTTTTGAAATAAAATAATTTTCTCTTTTAAAGGCCATTAATGTTCAGGTTTTTCAAGCTTTCTGGAAACTCTAGCA